AGGCCTGGGTGCCTCCTCCTGGACAAATTGCTTTGAATGTGTGCGTCCTCTGTTCCAATTTTTATTATCATTGCCTGGTAGAAAGAGGGCACCAACCCTATTTTAATATTTTTATCATTTCTAAAATATTTTTCAGTTCCTTGGTTTTATGATTTTGCTTACTACGACACGTTCTACCCTGTTGGTCCCCTCTACCCTCTGAACCCTCTCCTCTCACCGCTTCTCAGATCAAAAACCAAATCAAAAAAAGAGCAAAAGTCTGTTCCAAACTCAGAAAAATCTCTGACTAAGTCAGCCATGGAAGGAGGTCTAAAATATTCAGCTAAATCATCGAATTCAACAGAAACTAAAATTTTCTATCTCAGCCCAGAGGTGAAATCAAAACTGAAAAAAGTCCTTGAATACAAAAAACCTATTTCATCCCAAAAATCTGTAGCAACCAGAAAATCTGCAGCATCCACGAAATCTGCAGAATCCACGAAATCTACAGCATCCACGAAATCTATAGCATCTGAGAAAGCTAAATCAAATCAACCCTCTTTAGTTGAAAAATTCAAGTCTGCGTTTAAAAACAGAAAAAAAGGGTTTCCTACCCCACACAATCATACCTTTCATTTTTCACCCAATTCCACAATAGCTAAAAATGTTCAAGATATGTATAAAAGTAAGATACAACAGGCAAAATCAAGAACTTATCAATCTAACAGAAAAATTCCAATAAAAAGTCAAGCAAACCAAGTCTCCAGAAATAACACTTTATCCATTTCATCGAATCTGAAAGAGAAGTATAAAGGTTTATTGTCACTTATGAAAAATAAGTTTAATCAAGATAAAAACACAACAACAACAATAACGAAAAAGTTTCCCAAGAAAACATCTGTAAAAGTAAAAACCAAGAAAAAATCTGTCAAAAAAGATAAAAAGGAAAAACCTAAGAAGAAGGTTCCCAAGAAATCTACGACTAAAAAACAAGCCACTGACAAATTAACGACTAAAGGAACGACTAAAGTAACGACTAAAGGAACGACAAAGGGAACGAAAAAAGGAACGAATACCAAGACCAAGGTTTCAAAACGAAAACGTCCCGAGGGTTGGTCTAGTTTTGTATCCCGTATCCCGGAAAAATTAGAGTTTACCAAAGCCGTTCAGATACCAGGAAAACAAGAAACAGGTCAAATATTTTTTATTATTTTTTTGTTTCTAGTGTAAATGGGCTTCCTATTCTAATACTAGTTTCCTATTCTAATCCTGGTTTCCTATTCTAGTCGTGGTTTCCAGTTCTGATACTGGTTTCCTATTCTAATCTTGGTTTCCTATTCTAATCCTGGTTTTCTATTCTAATCCTGGTTTCCTCTTCTAATCCTGGTTTCCTATTCTAATCCTGGTTTCCTATTCCAATCCTGGTTTCCTATTCTAATCCTGGTTTCCTATTCTAGTCCTGGTTTCCTCTTCTAATCCTGGTTTCCTGTTCTAAGGATGGGTTCCTATTCCAATCCTGGTTTCCTATGTTAGTCTTGGTTTCCTTTTCTAGTCGTGGTTTCCTATTCTAATCCTGGTTTCCTATTCTAATCCTGGTTTCCTATTCTAGTCGTGGTTTCCTATTCTAATCCTGGTTTCCTCTTCTAAATCTGGTTTCCTATTCTAATCTTGGTTTCTTATTCCAATCCTGGTTTCCTATGTTAGTCCTGATTACCTTTTCTAGTCGTGGTTTCCTATTCTAGTCGTGGTTTCCTATTCTAGTCGTGGTTTCCTATTCTAGTCGTGGTTTCCTATTCTAATCCTGGTTTCCTATTCTAGTCCTGGTTTCCAGTACTGATGCTAGAACGGAGCTAAAAGTTGAGTTTAAAGGGAAAGTATACACTGTACCAACACGGTTCCTTTTCATACAGGTAAATAATCTGGTAGATAATCCCTTTATATGTGGTGTATTTACAAGGTTGCCCAACAAGAATAAGACTTTTGAGACGGAATTCATACTTTCTGCTTCCTTATATTTATTATTCCTTATATTCATTATTCATTATATTCATTATTCCTTATATTCATTATTCCTTATATTCATTTTTCCTTAAATTCATTATTCCTTATATTCATTATTCCTTATATTCGTTATTCCTTTTATTCATTATTCCTTGTATTCATTATTTCTTATATTCATTATACCTTATATTCATTATTCCTTATATTCATTGTTCCTTAAATTCATTATTCCTAACATTCATTATTTCTTATATTCATTATTTCTTATATTCATTATACCTTACATTCATTATTCCTTGTATTCATTATTCCTTAAATTCATTATTCCTAACATTCATTATTCCTTATATTCATTATTCCTTACATTCATTATTCCTTATATTAATTATTCCTTATATTAATTATTCCTTAAATTCATTATTCCTAACATTCATTATTCCTAACATTCATTATTCCTTATATTCATTATTCCTTACATTCATTATTCCTTATATTCATTATTTCTTATACTCATTTTTCCCTGCCCTGTCATTAAATAAGCCATTAAATTTAACTTTAAGATTGTTATATCTTAAAATTTTCAGGTCGTCTTTACTATCTCATATCATTTGTGGGTAACTTTGGTGTTTGTATGTGCGTTGTTAAAAGTGATTTCTTAGCAATGTTCCCTCATTTTGTACGTCATCATTTTGCGTCCTTACCATGCGTTCTCTTTATTAAAGTACCCTGACAAGAGTTTTCTCGTTAGTTTGTTTGAGTAAGCAACAGAGAAAGTTGAGAAATGTCGTCAGCTAATATGAGATAAGGGAAAAGGGAAACTTTGAAACTTTCGAGTTAAACTCTAGTATACTGGAGAGCAAAATTTGATTTAAACTCGAGTACTGTAGAGAAAAAGTTGAGTTAAACTAGAGTAATGGAGAGCAAAAGATGAGTTAAACTAGAGTACTGGAGAGCAAAAGTTAAGTTAAACTCGAGAAAAGGAGAGCAAAACTTTGAAACTTTCGAGTTAAACTCCATTATACTGGAGGGCAAAAGTTAAGTTAAACTCGAGTACTGTTGGGCAAAAGTTGAAATAAACTAGAGTAATGGAGAGCAAAAGTTGAGTTAAACTATAGTACTGGATAGCAAAAGTTAAGTTAAACTCGAGTACTGTAGAGCAAAAGTTAAGTGAAACCCGCGTAATGGAGAGAAAAAGTTATTTTAAACTCGAGTACTGTAGAGCAAAAGTTGAGTTAAACTAGAGTAATGGAGGGTAAAATTTAAGTTAAACTAGAGTACTGTAGAGCAAAAGTTGAGTTAAACTAGAGTACTGGAGAGCAAAAGTTGAGTCGAACTTTAGGGAGAGCAAAAGTTGAAAACTGTAGAGTAAAAGTAGACTTAAACTCGATTACTGGAGAGCAACAGTTGATTTACGCTTGAGTACCGGAGAGCAAATGTTGAGTCAAATTCATATTTCTGTTTGTTGGGTAGAGGTATATTTCTAACATCTATTTCTTTTTTTTATTTGAAAATTTTTATGATTTTTTTTAGGGCCGAAGACAGAAACTGGTGTGAATCTGCTTTGTTTTTATAATAACTGCCTGTATAGTGTAGGTGGTCTTAACTATATGTGCGTTGTATGTACATATAAACTTTAGTTATTAGTACTACATACATCTGATCCTAGGCATGTTTATACTATACACAATGTTCATAAAATTATCGTTATTATTTATTTAGTATTGACATAAAGTGCTCATTAGTGAGTTTAATACTTGTTAAAATAAAATATTTTGATAATAATTCTTATATTTGATATAATATATTATGGTCTAATCCATACAACTCATTTTCCACCCCCCATGATTTTGCCCTTAGAGTTGAGATCATAGATAAAGATAGATTGCGCATAAGACGACATTTTTCCTCTTTAAAGATATAAATGTACAGAGATGTTTTAAAGATATTCCTATTATATAGATTAACTAGGTCGGTTGTGAACATTGGCTGTTCTTATGTCATTGAGTACTTGTGGTGTACATGATTTCTGTAAAAAGAAATTTAAGTTAGTTTAGTCTTTCTCATGGCCTTCTTCAATTCTCGTCAATATGATATATTGCTCAGTGAAATAATTTGATATTCTCAAAATAAAATTCACTCCTGAGTGGTTTAATAATTATGAAATCCGTTAAAACACCAAACCACCCCGCTTATCATTAAAGTACACTTTGACCCCTAGAAGTATGAGTTCGCGGACTGTACAATTCTTGGTGATTTTGCGTACATAAGCTATCTATGTTTATTTATTTATCTATGGTTGAGATACATATAAGACCTCTAACTTTAATGGAAGGGTGCGAGTTAGGTTTTTAAAAAAAAGTTTTAAAAATTCGTCGCAAAAAAAGGTTGAAAAATAGTTATTTTTACCTTTGACACATGTTATCACCCATTTGTCAAGGGCTTTTCAAAAAATAAGAATTAGATCTGTAGATTTATATTTTTTGACTATTTCGAAACAAATGTTGGCAACAGTTTTTTTTTACAAAGTAAGTTGAAAAAGGAAAGAATTGGTGTAAGTCATTTTCAATTTCTAAAGAAAAAACTCAGCGTGATAGGGTTAATAGAGTTAATATCGAGCAAAATTCTAAACTCTTTTTTTAAATTCTAATGTAACGAATAAGTAAAGTAAAGACCAACTGAAATGCAACTGTAAACGAATAATAAACAAAACATTGTTAAAAAAATATAAAATGTGTAAAAAAAAAAGAGTGTGTACACTCGAGTGGCTCTTAATCCTAAGTGTTGCATGTCCGATTCATTCCGTGCTAGATTTTGACAATTCCTTCAAGTTTCTTTGCAGAAAAGGGCCGAAAAAAACTTTCAAAAAGAAACTACAAATGAAAATAGTAAGTAGTAAGAATATCTCTTTATTTCATTAGTTCTTGTTTGATTGGACAAAGGTTTAAAGCTTACCGTTGTGAATCAGAAGTGTCACTCAATAAACAGAGGGTCCCATGAATTTACAGTCCCTCTAAACTAACCTGATTTTGAAGATTGAAATAAGATTTCTCCACGATCTCGAACCTTCTCCTGAGTTTTGTGAACTCCACCAAGAGAGCGTTTAAGGCCAGGTTCTGCTGGGAGTCCACGGAGCTGAAACCTGCAGAAGAATCTAGAACCTATACAACAAAATTAGAGACAAAATAAAAAAACTCGCATTATTTGTTATAAACATTTCATAGAATTTTGTTCGTTGCTTTACAATAACTTGTTCTGGCGGGGAGGGGGGGGGGGGCTGAAAATATTATGAAATAAAACTTGAAAAATCACTGTTATAAAAAACCAGAATCACCATTTCTCTGATTGTAAAAACTATTTTACTTTTAATTTCTAGCGAAGAAATATATTAATGATTAGTGAAAAGTTATTAAACGCTGAACTAGAAAGGAATTGAGTCTTCGTCACAAACTAGGATTTTCTAATCTCTATATCTTTGTAATCAAATGCCGTAGACCTTAGATATTTCAAACTATGAATTCTGTTAGATGAAAAAATCCATGTTTGAAATATCAAAGGTTTACACCATCAGGTGGAAAAAATATAGGTATTAGAAAATCAGAGTTTGTTACAAAGATTTCAATTTCTTTGTAATTTTAAAAACGATCACCATAAGTGATCTTATTTGTTTCTCAAAAGTCGATCAATCTTTAGCAGGGTAAATTCTGGATATAATCTACATGATGATCAAAATACATCTTTAAAATAAATGTTATGAAGAAACTATAAGAAAAATTAGAATATAAGTTTAAGATGTAATAGACGTAAAAAGTGGGAGCCAACCATATTTATGTTAGAACGACGACATTTCATACCTGTCTAAGATCTTTCCATGGTTCCCGGAATATTTTGTAAACTTTCTCAAGTTTATCATCATGTCGTAGACCAATAACAAATTCATATTTTTTTAATTTGAAGAAGTGTTTGTGCGTTACANAAGTACCCCTCCCCCCAAGGAAAAATGGATTAAAAAAGAATTATTTCTCCAAAAATCTTCTTAAATAGCCAAGATAACTTAAATTTATTGAATAGCAAAGGTTTTTTAATTAAATTGAATAGTTACTGCTAAATTCATGAATATTATTATGGCCTACCATCTCTGTTTAGAAAATACACTATCTGATGGAGAAAATAAACTTTTAAGTTTCAGAAAAAAAGTTTTTAAAAATATATTCCCTGATTTCGATTTTTCCTCTTCACCATCATCAGCTGAGTTATCTGGTATTATTGTTTGATAAGATGCATCTTTAATGTTGTTAGTTGTGTACTCAGAAGTTGTTCTTTTCTTAGTTTTTGACGGAGCAGTTTTTATACTGGGGCTAACTGTAGAATTCCCTTTTCTTCTGGATGATAATGTTGCTGTTGTTGCTTTTGTTGTTAATGTTGATGTTGATTTGATGTTGATGTTGATGTTGATGTTGATGTTGATGTTGATGTTGATGTTGATGTTGATGTTGATGTTGATGTTGACGGCTCCGTAATAGTGAATGTTACAGCTGATGATTTCGATGACTTGACACTTTTCCTACGGTAGAAAAACAATAAATTAAGTTTAATGTTTAGTACAACAGAACAAATTCATTTATTATCCAATTCTTTGTTAGTGTTTTCTTTGTCCAGCTTAGAATTATATATATAGTAATCAGTTAAAGAAAGAATTCTTGACGATTCGAAGCAAACATGACTTCAGTATTTTGACAAATTGATAAATTTCTTACCGACGGGCTCTAATTACATTTTTTCGTCTGTTATAGTGAGGAAGAAAAGGATCAAAATCAAATCTAAAACAAACAAGATTTATGATTGTTAAACAACGATGTTATTTGATGTAAGCAAGCATTCTTACCTTCTTCTTGTTCTAAAATCAGTCAAGATGGAAGAAATATTCGACAACCAGATTTTGTTTGAAATTAATGGGTTGACTTTCAATTTCATGGATTTGGATATGGTTAAGGGGGGAAGGATGGGGAGAGGGTTGGTGAGGTTTGAAATGGTTAGAGAAGGAGAGGATTCAGAGGAAAAATAAGTTCTCCGTCGTTTATCATTGAATTTATCATTTTTAGCTTTGATCTTTGATATCAATTTGGTGTAAGATTGTTTTTCTGGGGTTATTTTCTCTGGGTTCAGTTTCTGATCTAAAGAAGTGGAGTAGAACTGCTTCTCCGGGTTTAGTTTCTGATCCAGAGAGGCGGAGTTAAACTGTTCCAGGTTCGATTTCTCCAGGTTTAGTTTCTGATCCAGAGAGGCGGAGTAAAACTGTAAAGAACTTCTACCAGACCCAGATATTCTTCTAGAAATATAAACAAAATATTATCATCGATGATGCCATGTCCAGTTTTAAATGAGTCTTTTAGATTTCGTCTCCTTTCAGAAACCACTAATTCTCATCTTTTGGATCTTTTTCAATATCTTTAAAGCTCTGAAACTATTAGCTTTAAAATCGCATATGGCCAATGACAGATCTAGAGTCAGTTATTCGCTTCATATTAAAAGTTTTCTCCGTGGATATTTCGAGTTCAGGCGTTGAAGATTAGCACTTTTAGAATTCTGGGCTTTATTTTCATGTCATTCATTAATATGAAAAATCTGTTTAAAAGGCAAACAAAGATGTGCAAACACTCTCACGCAACAATCAGAGGGACTTTAATTGTAATTTCAAGTTACCTTCTATACAAAGATGGCAATGCCTGATTCATAAACATACGTCTGATCAAGTATGAATAATGTAAGCATATTTTAATTTAGAAAAATGATTATTTTCTTTTGTGGTTTAGATTTTATACTAAAGTCATTTGCGCATTTATACTGCAGGAAATATATAGAAATCATCATATTTAAACCACAATATCTTCTACATTATTTATCAGATAAAGGTTTGTTTCAAGGCCATCGTTGTGACTTGGGCATTTCCTTCTTTGAACGGAGGGTTACGTGAAATTACGCTTACAGTCCCTTTAAATTATTTTGTGAACCTGAGTTGTTTATATTGTTGTTCTTCTACTCCTACCACCAATAAACTGGAACAAGCTAACATCAGAACCAAATATCTAAAATATAAAATATTGTTTGGAAGTTTTTAGGAATTGGAAATATAGATTTTGAAAATATTCCTAAGAAATTTTCAAGAATGCAGTCCCTAGAACATGTTAGTCGAATATGGGAAATTTTCTGAGATAAACCCCCATGCAAAAACATCATAAGTATTTCTAAAGAATTTCTCAGAAAATTCTAGAATTCTTGGAATAATCACAACTATGTTTGTATGAAGAAATCTTCCATAATTTTCCGAAAAATTCTTGGGATCCAGTTTCAGAAAAACTAGAGAAATTCCTAAATTCCCAATGTATAATGTAAGATGAACCATGTAAAATTATTAACTGCTTATTTTATTTTTTAACCATTGTTTCCCTAAAATTAATTCGATGTAATTGGTCTGAGAAATTTCAACCAATTGATAACTTGAATAATTGACTAATTCATATGTTATCTTATATATATTTGTGAAACTAAAATTTTAGATTATCTACCTAATCATTACACCGAATAGGTCCACTGTATAGCATTATCTTCTTTAATTCTTTAGGAGCCAGGATTTCCGAGATGCTCCCTTTAAACTATAATTAAATAATAGATTAAATAAACTTTACATTTAGAAAAGTTTGGCGAATAATGTTATTTTTTCTTTATGACAGCCTGTAACATCTAAAGAAAATGCAAGGAAAAATGGCTGAAATATTTCATGTCCGAAATTTTTGTCAAAAAACAATTCTCAGTTTTTGGATGTCCGGTTAAAAAATCCATTTAACCGTAAATTTTGATTCCGTTTTCACAAACTTTTCGCAAACTTGATGAACCATTCAGAGAAAAGGAAATGAATTGAGTTTTAACAACAAACTCTGATTTTCTAATCCCTATATCTTTGCAAGCTAATGTCGTGGAATTTTGATATTTCAAACTATGAATTCTGTTAGATCAAATTATCTAATTCTGAAATATCAAAGGTTTACACCATCAGGTCTCTAAGATTTAAGGATTAGAAATTTGAGTTTGTGACCAAGACTCGCTTCGTATAATCTCTAATTTTCAAAAGTTCAGATTTGGGTTTTCAGAGCAAAAGATTTTTGTCTGATATTTTGCCCCGTGAATCCGCATATTTTTGCGGATCCGGATTCAGGAAAACAAAATGTTGCGGATCAAATGGATCCGGATCCTTTAAAGCACTGTTTAGTACTGCAGGTATATTAGGTCGATTGATGGATTTGAGTTACAGATAACTGAATTTACTCCGATAAGGTCAAGACATACTTAGCTTTGAATAGTTTCCCGTGGCGTCATCTTTTAATACTCTGTAGCTTTAGTATTGTTGTGAATCTTTTATATCACTTTATTCTGTAATTTTAGTGATCCTCCATGCAAAGATAGTAATGATTCTTAAAACTTTAATCTCATCAAAAATTATTCAATTCTCCATTGTTTCTTATATAAACAAAAATGTACAAGTCACTTTAGTAGAGAAACCACAAATAAAAACAAACAATTTAAATAAACATAAACATTGATATCTAATTCATTAATACAGTCGAAGCTTTTAAGGGCACCTGTGTAAATCGAACATTGTCATCTTTGCATGGAATGTCACTTGAAATTACGATTACAGTCACTTTAAAGGGAGACTTTAAAAATAGTGTTGACAATATTTGTGAAACTTTTTTTTTCACTTGAGAAGGTTTAGGATTTAAATATTTTTGATGTTATAGTTCACGCGCTCCAGATTATACTATAATACTACGCGCGGTTGATAAGTATTTATGAAATAAAGCGTGACATTTTTACAATTAATATTACAAACTATAAATATGTATTGTTAACAAAACAAACAAAAAACTATCTTTATGTTGTAAAGTTTTAAATTTTAACTACTTCTTAAAATAATTAGCATGGTAAAAATGGTTGTATTTAGCCAATCGACCAATATTACTAAATAATTTAGAAAAATTCTAGAAATTCTCCTTTTCAATTATGTAAAGACAATTTTAAACAATTCTCTCTTAAATCATGGAATTAATTATTATATCCTTAATACTTATTTTGCCTTTGATTAGATAAAAAAATAGAAATTTAGATTTTACTGAAAATGAAAAATTGTCAAGGTTTGTGGATATATATTGATATGTATAGATTCACGGTCAATGCACAAACAGATTCACACAGAATAGTTAAGTGAAACAATAGAAATTGCATTGGTGGTATCTATCTATATATATATATATGCACTCTAAAGGGTGTCCCAATAAACATGGAAACTGAGAGAAAACTTGAATGTCGTCATTGATTTCCAAGAATTGATAAAGGACATAAAGTGCATAACAAAAAGATTAAATGTTTAATAAGTTTTCCAAAATGTGGTCTACAATCTTTGTATCTTGAAAATTGACGGAGATGTTAAAAAGGAATTGAGTCTTTGCCACAAACTATGCTTTTCTAATTCCTATATCTTTGCAAACCAAAGTCGTAGACCTTAAATATTTCAAACTATCAATTATGTTAGACCAAATAATCTAAGTTTGAAATATCACAGGTTTTAATTAAAAGGCTGCAAAGTTATTGGGTTTATAAAATTTGGGTTTGTGGCAAAGACTCAATTCCTTTGAACAGTTTTGTTGATTTTTGATAGACTTTAATATGGACAAATTTAACTGTGATACTACACAATTATGTTTACAAAATAATTCCGCTTGGAACAAAGACGATATACAAGTCGTCATTGAATTCCCAGTTAATTGGGACACCCTGCATGTATCTAATCATTCAATTAGAGATCAATCATGAAATAAACAGTAAACAGAAAGCGGTTTTTTTACCTCTGATAATAATATTAAAGTAAGTATAATTGTTCTGTTATACAGACTTTTTTGGTTGAAGTTGTACAGAATATCGTCTTCTATGATCTATTTTTTTATTTTATTTTCAATTTGATATTTTTCACATTTTTAGGAGGAAGGGAGGAAAAAAGTACATTTACTTTGGAGCAAATAAAACTCAGTGGTAGCAATTGAGCGAGCGGTTAATATCCTAAACTAGGCATTTTTTTGTATTTTCGTAAATTGGTTCAACTGCTTTCGATCACTATAATAATAATTTGTAAAAGATTTTTTTGACGTTCTACTGCTTAGTCTCATCCTTTATCGAAGCTAGGAGGCGTCATTTTCCCATCATTTATCTACATAATATAAAAATTCCCTCCACAACCAACGCCGGTCACTTCAGATAGTAGCTCATAATTTAGAAATATAGCACGATGATTTCTTTATTCGATTGTTAATATATAATTGACCATGACATGACCAAGAGTGAAAAAGTGCATTAATAGTTAAGTAAAAGTTGAAAATGAATTTTGATGACTAATCGTATAAATTATTAGTTGAATAAAAATTTTATTCTATATAATGGATTATTGTAGTTTTACGGGTGACAGTTCACGGTAAACTAGAGGTCTTGGTAAAACGTCTAGTGAGTCTTAACTTTAGAAACTATTTTCACCCATTATGTGAAGTTTCTTATGTGATACATTTTTGTTGCGCTATTTATTTAAAATATTTAAGTATGTTAGACATTTTACGTTATTTTTAACAGATCATGAATGAGAAATCAAAATATGACTTAAATGTTCCAACACAGACAAGATGCACTCCGTTGTAGTTAGTTTGACGTGAGTTTAAGGACGAAAAGTAACAAAGTAAACAGAGCATTAATTATAGGTTTTCTTTACTATAAAATGCCAACTTTAAAGGGTTACTTGGCTATTTCTAAAATTCGTAAATGTAAGTTGACAGATTTAACAGTTATTCAATGACATAGAGAAAAGGTTTTCAGACAATACCCTTTAAAACCTTTTAAAATGTAATTCTTTTGTATTTTATGTTTAGATTAGATGTCGAAACTTTAGGATAAAACAGCGCTAATCTACATCGAACGCTTGATCTAGATATTCATTGTGGAAACTTTTAAATTTGAACTTTATAACATGTGGATATCCAAATCAATGCTTGATCTCCTCTTTTTATTAATCTTAAGATTTATCAAATTTGACCATCAAATCCAGACCTGTGTCCAAAATGCTATCAATTAGAGTGCCGATTAAAGAAGCCGAACAGCCAATCAGAACCCGAGAAATTTTGAAATTTAGGTGCGCAATTAATGAGAGAATTGCTATTGAACCAACCCCGATCAGAGATATCCAAAAGAAAGGATTGGGCAGAAAATCATTTCGGAACAGGTGGCAATTGAAAAGCTCTTAAACATAAAAATTATTTAACTAAGTTTTACATATTGCCACCTACCTTTCAGATTTACATATTGCCACCTACCTTTCAGATTTACATATTGCCACCTACCTTTCAGATTTACATATTGCCACCTACCTTTCAGATTTCCCCCCTGATTCTGTTTTACATATTGCCACCTACCTTTCAGATTTTCCCTCTGATTCTGTTTTACATATTGCCACCTACCTTTCAGATTTCCCCCCTGATTCTGTTTACATATTGCCACCTACCTTTCAGATTTTCCCCCTGATTCTGTTTACATATTGCCACCTACCTTTCAGATTTTCCCCCTGATTCTGTTTACATATTGCCACCTACCTTTCAGATTTTCCCCCTGATTCTGTTTACATATTGCCACCTACCTTTCAGATTTTCCCCCTGATTCTGTTTACATATTGCCACCTACCTTTCAGATTTNCCCCCCCCCCTCCTCAGATATGCCTCCCCCCTTTTTATGGTTGACGGAAATATGTTTAACAAATGCATTTCAGTAAAAATCTGAAGCACATGCATACAACCAAAAACCGAAAAAATGCGAAATTATAAAAGTATAATTATTAATGAATATTCTTACATGACTATAGGTTTAAGGGATCTTTATAGCGCCTCTTTATCTAGAAATTTGAAATTTGAAACAATTTGAGTTCTTAACTGTTTTTTTTTTACATTGTAAAACTAGAAAGTTTTAAGGATTTTTTAATGGATTTTCAAAAAGTTTTTAAATCAACATGTTTTCTAGGAAAAATATTTAATTTTGAGCGCACATAAACCTTCCCTGGGGTCATGGTTCAGCTGTTTTAAAGTTTATTGGAAATAAACATACGGGTAAAAACCAAACCAATAAACAGCCCAAAAAAATTTTAAATCCCAAAAAGATTTCGAAACCCCTTCAATTAGTATACTGAAGATTGTGAAGCATGAAGTATAATGTTGATAAAATGAATTTCTCTTCTTTACATATAGATCTGTATTTATAACAGATGTCACAGATATAGATATCTTTGAAATCTCAGGATTTCAATGTTTATAATAAATGTAACCATAGCAACTACAGAAGAAAATGATCTAGTAATGTCAAATTCGCAAAGATATCACAAGAACCAAGAATTCAAATTTATGGTAACAAAATTACTTTGAGTATTAGCATGGATTTGAATAAGATTTTTGCAAACTAATTTTTTGCATGAAACCCCTCGGCGAATTGGAATTTTGCAGATGATTAACTGAGTCCAGAGAGTATGAATTTTTAAATAATCATTGATTCCAAACTCAGATATATCTGACGTCAGCTAATGTAACATTAATCAATATCATATTAGCATAATTTTTCTAAATATTGCTAGGCTTTTAGCTTCGGCGCTTCTCTTCGTACAATATAAAACAAAAACGAAAAATTTCGCGGATTTCATCATATTTTTTTTGTGGATTTTCAAAATTTTACGACAATCCTTTTTTTTGGAGACAGATTTTTGCAATTCTGTGTATTCATAAACATTCCCTGGGGTCATGTGATATCCTACAAAAAATGTGTGCCACATCAGATTAGCCGTTTTGACGTTTACTGGATACAAAAAAAACCAAGCAAAGTATATGTATTAGAGATGTCAACGTTTTGATTTTTCTAGATTTTAGCTTTCGATAGTGTTCATCAAAAGTATAAACGTTTGAAACGTTACGTTGCACATTATGAAATTTTATGGCATAGACTAACGTTTGTAATGAATTTTCTGCACCCTGCTCCCCTGGAAAATATAAAATTAAAAGGAAACTACGTTTAAAAAGTAACACCTGACAATGACACAGACTAAGGATTTATTATCTTTGCTTTTTGTTTAGAAAAACCACTATCTGATTTTTCGACGCATTCGTAAATAGTTAATATTTCATAATATTTTGAAATTTTCATGATCTATTCCTGTTTCGAGGATTTTTGATAATGAAGACGACATTTTCATATTTTCCGGGAATGTTCGAAAATCCAACGCCAGCGAAAATTATTTTTAAAGAAACAAAATCAAAAATATTATGAAATATTAACTATTTACGAATGCGTCGAAAAATATTCGATGACTATTGTTTGTAATATCTGAATGATTTGTTTGGAATTAAATTGATTTGTTTACGATCCAAATTGAATGTTGAACTTTCTGAATTTGTATGGACACTACGTTCTTCGGTATTAGTCGTTTTTAACAATTTTCTCCTTATAGACGCAACAGATAGAAGTAAGATTAGTAGCGATCAAAAGCGCTTTTTTATCGCATTAATCCTATACCCCCTTTTATTTTTCGCGAACACTCCCTTTAATCCATCCAGATCCAGTGCCCGCATCAAAAGAAATGGATCGCACTGTTTTGGAAGCGCGATATTTTTTAGGCGCTAAAAATAAGTCTAATTTTCGTGGGTAAAGGAGGAGGGGGGGGGGGTTGTTTCCCTTAACATTGCATTAATGTTTCTTTATCGAATTTCTAAAGGACAATTAATAGAAGTTTCCAATAATCTAGCTAAATGTGTACCAATAAAGAATCCTTTTTATTAATTAGATGTTTCATATTGAAAAGTCTATAAGATATATCTGCAAGATCTTTTTACTTATTTTCTTACAGCCCTATTCGTATCAAGGTTCATATTTAATTTTTTGAATTGAGTTAACAGTACTTTGGACCAGGGATTAACAGTACTTTGGACCAGGGATTTCACATTTTTCAACTCCAAATTCTGTAAACGACCATGTAATTTATTATAAAAAATAAAAACAGGTTTTACGACACACTTATTTATTTTTCCCTTTAAAAAAATTAGCCAAATTTTACATAAAATTTTCTTTGTACATATTTAAATGTTAACTATCAGCAACTTCAGAGAGCAGCTTTACACTAAAAAAATGGCAACAGCGGATGTATCACCAAGAAACATGATTACTCTACATACTCCTTGTGTTTAGTCATGAAGTGAATCTTGTGGAAACACTTGAGATTAAACTGCTTAAAGCACAGATTACAGGAGAAAACTGTTTTACGTCCTATACGTTTTTCCTGCTTACGTTCTTGCTTCAGCTCATCTAAAATATTATGGATGCAAGACTGTTTATATGTCTAAAATTTCTATGTGAAGAGGCAGTACAGGGTCATTTCCATATAAGAAAGTTAAAACGAATTGAGTATTATTTTATTTATAGTTTCAAGTGAACCTCTGTATTAAAGTACCAAGGTATCTAATTCAAAATGTGACAATATATCGTCGTTTTTCTAGCTTTTGAATGTTAACTCGACCAATTATTCTATTGATTCTGCTGTAAAAAATCAGCAAGTCATTGATATGGAGAAATCACAGTGGAAAATACCGATCATGGATCTCATTAATTCATTTCTGGTCAGACAAAGCTTGAAAGGGTGCCGTTGGGAAGTTCTATAAACTAAGGGCCAAGTGAAATTACGTCTCCAGTCCCTTTAAATAATAAACCTAATCTTCTTACCCTTAAAATGACTCCTGAGATGTTGTGAAAGCCCAGCATTGGTTCTGAAACTTCTATTGCAACCATCAAAGGTACAGTTATCAAGCAACAGATCTAATAAGAACAGAAGCAATGTTCATTGTTCAACTATAATATTCCAGACAAGAAGACTGAATTAGGATTTCCTTTAGATTTTGATGTGGGAACTTTCCCAAAGGCTTTTTTCCAACCGGCAAATTCCACAATGTGCAATTTCTCGAGAGGCAACTTCCCAAGCCTGTCCTATCGACAGTGTTCGGTCCCCTAGCTGTTCTAGCCGAGCACTCGGTCCAATAGCCAATTGCAGGCTGCGGCACCTCAGAAAGCCTAACCTAACCTGTGGGAAGTTGCTGTTAGGGAAAAGGGGAAAAGGAACATTTGGAAAGTGACAGTTATAAAATTGTCACTTGGGAAGTCGCCCTTTGGAAAATACCTTTGCTTTGTTTTAAGGACATATCTTTAAAATAATATGCATTATTCATTTGTTAACCTACATATCATCATGCATGTATGATTCTTCAAACATTTATCAATAAATTCCTCTCGTAGGGGGTTTGCCTTTTTTGCGTTCAATATTTGCAAAAAATTGTGTTCAGTTTTCAAATTATTAAGAATGCAATTTTCTCCATTGTTGAAATGTGCACAATTCACTTTTGCAGAGCAACCACAAATCAAAATGAACAGTTTAAAGAAACAAAAAGATGCATATATAATTTATACATGACAAAACTTTTGATGAAACCGTTGTAAATCCTTGCCATCTTTGCTTGGAGGGTCACTTGAAATTACGTTTATAGTCCTATTAAATAAAACCAATACTGTCGCAATTAGAACGAAATTTTTTATATCTCCGGCGGGGTTTAAAGCAGAAAAAGGCAGCCCAAGGTTTAGAAATACCAGGATCAGAGTTAGTTTGCGATTTTTGATTTGAGAATTTTGCTTCTAAAATTAGGTTAACGAATGAAGTCCGCAAATTATTTCAACGAACAAGTCTTTCAGCTGTAAGGTTTGATGGGTTCCCCCTGCACAATACATAATATAGGTTAATACCTGGGGATACTATCTTCTCAACCTTGTTTCCTTCCAATTTCTTCTGTTTAATCTTCGCAATTTCTTTTCCTCTCACTTTCTTCTGGTCAATTATCGAAACTTCTTCCTCTTCAACTTCGTTCTGATAAATCACTGTATCTTCTTTTCCTCTCACTTTCTTCTGATTACTATTTACATTTTCTTCTCCGCTCACTTTCCTCTGTTTCATCCTTACATCTTCTTCTCCTCTCCCGTTCTCCTGTTCAATTATCGAAACTTCTTTCTCTTCGACTTCGTTCTGCTGAAACACCGTAACTTCTTCTTCCAGGTCCAGGTCCTGATTAATCTTGGAGTCAATTATTTTAAGATTCGTATTATCTGTCTTTCTTGTTCTCCTCACACATATATCCTCTTTCTTTCCGCCGTTCGACATGTTAAGAAATCCTACAGGAAGGATGGTCCTACTTCTCTTACGCGAGCTAACTGCTGGGGGTAGAGAAGCATGATTACCTTCATCAACTGAAGTAGAATGCTGAATCAATACTTCCTTCTCCTTCTTGAACAGGTAGCTTCTCATATTGCTTGGTTTGATTCTGGAAGCATTGTTCCCTGGAGATCTAGGGACAAAACTTGATGAACCAGCTCCGCTCTTGGTTCTAGTGTAAGCACTAAGGGAGTATTCAACGTCGCCAGGAGAGAGTTGAACATAACAACTTGTGCCAGATTTAGTTTCCTCTATGTTTATTTCTTCTACTAGATCATGAAAACTTACTCTCTTCTTTCTTCCCCTAAATTATAAAAAGTTTAATTCTACAGAAGAAAAAAATGAACCAAGCGTCTCATCCGTATTCAATTAGGATTTTCTGCAAACAATGCAAATCAAAATATTAATGTTAAGTTTAAGGTGTGAGAAAAGGGCGGATATAAGAATTTAAGCTTTAGTCTGTTAAGTTCTCTTTAAAAAGAACGTATATGGGATTGTGAACCCTAAATATTAATGTTTTCCCAACAATATAGCTTTCCTAATATTTTTATTCCNAAAATTTGCTGAAATGAGTGAAAATTTAAAAAAACGGTGTATTTTCCAGGATAAAAATCCGTACAATCCGTACAATTTGAAAACAAATTCGTACAATCCGTACAATCCGTACAATTTTAGGGTTAAAAAAAATCAATCCGTACAATCCGTACAATCCGTACATTTTGGCCACCCTGTATATTATAACCTTCAAAAACAAGGAAAAGAGGATTAAAACTTCAAAAAGCATTAGAAAAAAATGACTAGAAAGTTGATTTTCTTTTAAAGAAATTATTTAAGTTAGAAATCCTAACAATTTCAAGGGGGATGCATATTGTTAGAGACTGTTGGGACATGATTATTCTTTACGGAAGCTGCAGTGAAAAAAAATGCATTCTTAAAAATGTAAATTAAAGGAAAAGAGAAGATGTCACATTTTCCTGCATATCACTCACATTTTCCAGTTGTGGGTGTGTATGGGGGGAGGGGGGGATGAGAAAAAAGACATCGCTTTCCAGTGGGGGATGTCACCAAACTGAAAAATTACAGGATGTGAAAACTACCTTCAGCCGGTCCGCCTTCTTTTGTATAATAACTTGGAATAATGAAGGCAAATGGTTAGTTGAACAGTTAAATAATTAAAAATATAAACATCCATACCCTAGAGAATCTTGTCATCTCCAGGCGGCAAAATTCACAGGAGAACCTAGAAGAGAAAACCAATATAAGTTTAGAAAATCAATAGTATATTTGCGATATGCATTCAATCAGATACTTTCACAGACCTTAATTGGATTTAAATTTTTATCTATTCATTGAATTTTGTAAATTACATTTTCACTAACTTTTTCGCCATTTTAATTTTTTCCTTTCTAATGAAACTTTAGGGGTGTTAACTAAGACTTATTTAAACAAAAAGAACAGATATGGGAATGTTTATTTTTTTGACAATAGAACCAATTCCATCTTTAAAATTTCTTATTTGGCTTAGTTTAAAAATACATACCTAATAAACAGAGTGGTAAAACATTGTTTTTCAACAAGGACGAAAAGGATGAAAATATAAATAACCCTGTTATTAGTTTTCAACCCCAACTGAGGTAGACTTTAAACTTATGCTAATATGTTAAAAACCCTTTAATAAGTAAAGATTGGTTCTTTACTTGTAAATAATGCATGTGGTATGATTGTTTCATTAGTTTTAGTTAGTTTGTTTGTTTACCAATTTCTTAAGAATTCTCTTGTTTTTTTAAGTTGACGCTTTATTTAGATCTAGCATGTTGATTGTTGAATGTGCTTTGTGTTTGTTTTAGACTGGGAGAAGGTAGAGAATTTAGTAGTTAGTGGGCACAGTTGCCCTGAAGCAGGGATAGGTATAAAAAAAAGGTTAACCAAATCTGTCAATATATTTTATATTGTACATATCTAAGGAGTATTTTTCACCAAAAAATAAAATCATATCAAGAGCTTTTTGGAAAATATTCGATTTTAATTTTTGTTTTTAACAAAAAAAAAACTTACTTTTGAAAGAGCTTGTGACCTTCTGCCTCTGCCATTTTATCTGAAAATAAAAATATGAGAACAGATCCTAAAGATTGAAAGAAGAGAACTCAAATATACTTCTTCTGAGGTTCTGATTGTAATTGGAGTTAGACAGGAGTTTAATTCTATATCTGTCCCAGATCGTTACAAAAACTCTTGTGGATTGACTCGCCGGCCTGTTCAGAATACAATCCAAAACAGGCATTCTGAAATATGCTCCAAAGTTACATGAAACTTTAAAGTTTCTTCAACTCAGTCATAGATGACTCTACCAGTAGAGAAGCAGCCCTCAATAACATTGTTCAAGCTCTTTAGGAAGGAAACATATGGAAGTGAGAAAAAAGGACTCTTCCCACAGAGAAGATCAGGTTCTAACGGTTTCTCTTAATTCTTCAACAATGTTCTTCATGCCCTACCCTCAAATGTTCTTCAATTATAACCAGCAGATATCTGTCCAAGCTTAGTTGGCCAACTCAAAGCATTCTCCAATCCTACTTTTGGAACAACACTTTCGCAGAAAGTATTGTTTACACCACCAGAGAGATTATGTAGTTCGGGAAATGTGTACTTCTCAGACACTAACTAACATCTCATGTGGCTCATCAAACAGAGGAGGGTTTACAGAAACATTTCCAGTTTCTTTACAAAAGGTGATTTAAGCAATTTTGTTCCCTCTGCCCTTCATTCTTATACTGTTCAGCTGCACTGGGGATCCTGCAGTGTTGGTAATAAGACAATTGCAGTCCTCCTTTGACCTGAGATGGAATTTAAAGAATTTGAGCCGCGGTTTAAATCTGCCAAAATCCGCCAAAACCCGGTTTAAATTTAGCGCCGGCTTAAATCTTGAAACATTTGATACAATTTTAAGTGGAACCAACCTTAAATTTAAACCGCCGCTTTAATTCTTTAAATTTGGCCACTGGTTTCCTTTCTGAGTATCATCTCCTCGTAGTTTGGCATAGCTGGGATGCTCCTTTTGCCATCTCCCTTCACCTGACTTGAAAGTCCCAACCTACAATGTAATCAATAATCATTCTTAATGAGATATGGTAATTAAACACAGGGGGAAGGGGGTCCCCCCTTCCACTCCTCTGTCAGGACTAAGCTAAGGTCAAGATTTAATTGGATATTTCTGAATTAAGGTGTGTATCAATACTTTTAAAAATGAAAAGCTTGTTTTAAGAAAGTAAAAAAGGTAAGTTTGCATGTTTTAATACAAAGAAAGGTAAGTGAGCATTATGTTTGCATGTATCAAAAGAGAAAAAGGTGAGTGAGTGTACACTGTGCATGTTGTCAGTACAAAATAATTAAGTTAATATCAATATTGATCTATACTGAAAAGATCAATATAAGGAGCGTCTAAGAATGAATATTCTTCAACAAGTGAAATAATTTCCATTCTTTTTGTACGGAGCGTGTAGGAATATTCATTCTTTCACGTTCAGACCGTGTAATAATTTCCATTCTTACACAGGTTGAGCGTTAAAGAATGAAAATTCTACACCCACAATGTAAGAAAAAGAATTCTTAAATGCTAAGCAAACAATATTGAATTTTTTTCTCCTGAACTGTGTACTAATGGGAATTCTTACACGATAGGTTTACTACTATGGAACCGAGATATGATATATTAGTATATTATGCATAGGAAGAAAGTGTAATATTCAAAATTATTGTTATAATATTGAAAGAAAAACCGTGGAATAATTTTGATTATTCATCTGAAGAC